GTTACTTCCCATCTCTGCATACAACAGCCAATCAGGATTAACGAAATGAGATAAAAGCTTCCGAGGAATATGGCAAGTGTCGCATCCCATAGTGAGACATCTCCCTCATGCTACTCTGAGAACTGGGGTTACGCAAGTAGCCTGTAGTTTTCTGTTGCTGGCATTCGTGTAAATATACTGGTGTGATACCTTAATATACATTTGATTGGTTTCTAGTAAACGTCTATTTTGAAGTTATAGCGCCCCCTAGGAAAAAACTCCAGCAACCGCCACTGGTTGAGAGGTGACATTACTGAAATGTAATACTGATGTTTACGTGAATATAAGTGAAGAACTTCCAAATTCATTAACATGATCAATAACTAGCTAAACTTTAAGGGTTTCTAAAACAACTGATGCAAAGCATTTTATTCAAACTAGGTGAAAATGTTTTGAATAATTCAGAGCATACCATATAAGGCAGAGAGAGATTCGGCCTCCTCTTGTATTTCCGTAGTGGCTGAAATATGAGTTAGCGGTGGCGGTGCTTCCAGTTGCCACCAGCTGTGCTCCGGCGCCATTGGTTTTCTGTCAAACACAGTTCAGGGTCATTTCCCGAGAAAACCTGGGATTATGTGGGGCAGCCGGATGTACTTACACCTCATGAACGATGGGTTTCTCAAAAAACAGACTGTCCAAGGACAGCGTGCTGTCGTCTGCATGAAACATCACTCCAGATCATGCAGACACTGCTTCACGTGCAAACTGCAGCAGGTTAATCAGGCGACCTGGATTCTGGTGTCTGAGGTCGGGATATAAAAACAAGAGATCATGCAAAGTTTGAATGGCAGAGACTATTTCTGCTATTCTATTCAAACTGAGGCTCATGGACTGATCCAACAAAACACGTTCATTCAGTTGTTCATTCAGGTTTTTTCACAACGGAGTATTAGGGCCAGGCTAGAGATTTTTTTATTTTATTTTAAATATGAGAAAAAAGTCATAATATTACCAGAATGAATTAATAAAATGAGGACAATGAAGTCATCATACCACGACCCGTTTCAGAAAGAAAGTGTCATGATTTTATCCAAAGATCTGACCCACATGCAGAAAAACCAAACAGGGAGACCAGGGGAAGGTTTAACAGGTTTATTGTGAGTTGGTAGAGAAGAGTCCAGTGCTGCTCTGAACACTGGCGAACCGGGACTGAAAAGTGAAGGGGAGGATTCAGCGGTTAGTTCAGGCTCAGTGGGAAATTTGTTTCTTTGATTTGAAAAAAGAAATAAAGGCAACAGGACACACGTTTCGAGAAAAAGGTGTCTTTCTTTGAATCCAGTCGTTGTGGGTTGTTCCAGTAATAGGCGGACAGGGTTTAACCAGGTTGAGGTGTTTACTTGAGGAACAGAGGAGCTGAACTTGAACGGTTTCTTGTGGAGATGAATCCCTTGCTTTGTGTGAAGCTCAAAAATCGCTTGGGGAAAAGTAGATCCAAACCTCCAGTTTGAATCCTCAGCTCAGTTTGAAGCTCAGATGATCCTTCCAGGGAGAGAAGGTCCAAACATCCAGTTTGCAGGATGACTTCCAAAAACTGGCAAACACTCTGGCGTCGAAGTAGTGGCAGACAGCAGCTTAAGAGGCAAACATCCGCAGGTGTGTGAGAAGGCCAACAAGAACCAGGCGCCACCTGGTGGTGGAGGAAAACAAACAAACAACAAAAACCACACAAACTGGATTCCTAACAGAAAGCTTCCAGCATGCCTTTTTCCATAGTCTTTTGCACAGTCATTTCAAAGTTCTGATCCTGATCATAATTTGATGCTAAAATACTGAATATTTTCTTATTTGTGAAACTCATGCCAAAGTATAACTTCACCAGATGCTCGACTTTCCTTATTTTAGGGAGAAGAATGCTTCTTGGAAGACGACATAAAATATGATCTTATTCTTGTAATGTTACAACTTTATTCTCACAATATTAAGATTTTATTCTAGTAATGTTACGACTTTGACGCTGTAATAAAATTGGTTTATCTGAAACTGAATGATTTCTATACATACCTGTAGGAATAGAGATATCCTTCATATTTATTCCAATTCCAATATTGTAGGAGCATAAGTAATGTTTATTCTAGTAATGTTACGACTTTATTCTTGTAATTTTATGACTTTTCTTGTTGCGATTTTATTCTTTTAATTATACAACTTTATTCTCGTAGTGTTCCAACTCTATTCTCGGAATTTTGTGAGAATTCTTTTTGTGACTTTTTGCTCGTAATTTTACGACTTTATTCTCGCAGTTTTACGACTTTATTCTGGTAATCGTACGACTTTATTCTCATAACGTTACGACTTTATTCATGAAAATATGTCCAGCCTGGCCCTAATATTCCGTCATAGCTGGTTGATTAAATGACACAGAAAGTTGTATCTCTAACCTTCTTAAGGCAGGCTGCCATATTGGATTTGATGGTAATGGTGGAAACCTCTAATTAAGCCCCTTTTTTTAATTTCCCAACTAAAAACTCGAAAGCTTCAACTTCTTAAAATACACTCTATAAACATCAGGAAAAAAAATCAATTTTGGGCTGTTTGTTTCGTGACATAAAGCAGCTGAAAACGCTGCGTCAAACTACAGCTTTAATAATAAACTAAAGTGGCTGTATTTGGAAAAGCTTAATATTTTGGCAACCAGTCACACAATGTTTAAGAACTAATGTGATGGGGTTTTTTTTATACGGTTGTCAGCTCCAAATAATAAATATAATGCGTTTTAAATATCTAGCAACATAACCATTTTTTAAGGCCATCACGAGGCTCTGCTAGCTTAAGTTAGCTAACAAGCAACTGCTCAGTTATGACGCTGTAATAAAATTGGTTTATCTGAAACTGAATGAATTTTATACATACCTGTAGGAATAGAGATATTCTTTATATTTATTCCAATATGGTTTGACAGGCCAGGAGCCTAAGTAATGTTTATTCTAGTAATGTTACGACTACTCTTTTAATTTTATTACTATTCCTTTTACCACTTCATTCTTGTAATTGTACAACTCTATTCTCGTAATGTTACGAATTTATTCTCAAGAAAATCTCTAGCCTGGCCCTAATACTCCGTCATAGCTGGTTGATTTAATGACAAAGAAATGTTTTTCTCTAACCTTTCTATGGAAGGCCGCCATATTGGATTTGGTAATGGTGGAAACCTCTCCTTTTTTCCATTTCCCAACTAAAATACGTTCTTTAAACATCAGGAAAAAAATACATTTTGGGCTGTTTGTTTCATGACATAAAACAGCTGAACAGCTGGTTGTCAACTCCAAATAATATATTTAATACGCTTTAAATATCTAGCATTATACTGTTTTTTAAGGCCATCCATCAGGGGGCTCTGCTAGCTTAAGTTAGCTAACAAGCAACTGCTCAGTTATGACGCTGTAATAAAATTGGTTTATCTGAAACTGAATGATTTTTATACATACCTGTAGGAATAGAGATATCCTTCATATTTATTCCAATATTGTTTGACAGGACAGGAAGATAAGCATTGACCCCTTCAACCCGCATTCAGTACAGTTACTGTAGAACAGCTGGAGGCTCATTTATAAGACAGAAGCTTTTCACTTTAGATTTTCCTTTTTTTTTTTCTTTTAACATAAGGCCCTCTGAGCTAACAGTGAATGGCTCTTTCTGTTAACTGCTGTCCACAGAAAGCTCGCCACAGAGGGGACAGGACAGGAAAATTACCGGCCACTGAAACAACAAAGGCCAATGAGAAGACAACCTTGGGCAGATGGTGCTAACATTTAAACTCTCTTCTTAATGGAAGATGATTTTTCTGTCTCTGCCTTAATGGCAGCTGTGGACGGGGAAATGTTTGGATGCAGCGGATCTACCACAATCATTAATCTTATTGAATCAAGCGGCGCTTAACCGCCATCACCTGAAAGAAAAGGAAAAAAAATCTGCCACCCAAAAGAGATGGTCGTTAACTCAGGCTTTTATCCCTCCTTTCTGGACTCAACCATTCCGCTGTGTTTCAGGGGGGTGGGAATGGCGCCGCCGCGTCACAATACGTGACGAAACGATCCACGACAGTAACTGCAACGAATTAATCTGCTTTGACGTTTTTATACAATAGTCATAAAATCCAACTATATTGGAGAAACTGCTTGTTTCGTAGCGGCGGCCCTGACTGGATGAGCGGATGCCCTAAGTAAAGAAATGATCCGGCCCACACCAGACCACCACGGAAAATGGCGACTGTGAAATAGATGGAAGACGAAAGTAAGAAATCATTAAATGCAGCTTTTCGGTCGTCTTCAGCTTCCATCCAAGCCGCTCAGAGGTAACGTTTGTTTGCTTATTATCATGTTATTCACCTTTCATTAGCAAGTAGCGAGTGGGTAATAGCCATTAGCCACAGTTTAGCCTAAGGAGTAGGTTTTGGTGTGGATCAGCCTTAATGGAATGGTCTGCAGCTCCTGCAAGCAGCATCCAACAACACAGCGTGACACTACTGTCAAAGAAACGCTCCAACACCGCAACTAATCTGAGCGAATAAAGCTCAGATGGACGCTGGAAGTAGAAGCCTTCAGAGGCGTATGGCAGCTGGCGGTGGAGGCACCATAGTGAACTCCTGAGCTGAAAGTTTCAGCTCTGTTCAGAATCCACCATCAGAAGCTCTGCCATGTCCATCGGTTCGAACATTCAGTACTGCCCGATAAATGTGGGGGGAAAAACTGCAATCTTCTCCACTGAGATGACACTTTTATTGCCCTTCATGCCACAGACCCCTCACTCCGTCGACCTTGTAGTTTTTAGAAACAAATAACCGTTGGAGTTCATTTTGATTTAGCATTTAGCCGATGTGATTATTAGATGATTATTATTCCCCCAATGTAGCTGCACTGGATGTAAAGAGTTTATTTAATAATGGTGATTGCCAGATTTCTGAAGGGGGGGCTACACCAGTATATTTATATGAATGCCAACAACAAAAAACACTGTATAAAAACACTTTATAAAATCAAAATATAATTTTATGTACAGGCTTTCTCTTTGTATATAAATCTTGCCCTTCTTAGGCTTTGTGAAGATAAATCTGTGTTTTGCATGGTCCAGTATTGTGTCACAAACCTAAAAAAATAATGGACCAGTTTAGTAATAGATCAGCCTTTTTTCCTAATAGATGATATCAGTTTGTGCGAATTAACAAACATGTAGAAAAAGTAGACTATATTCTATTATTTTCCATGTTAATCCCAGATTGTTCATTATTCTTTGCCTTTTCTGCAAAGTGCTTTAAATCAGTCCTAGCTGTCTTTATCCATGCTGGATCTGATCCTGACATTTGAAAAACTAGGCAGGGAAAACAGAATAAAGCCTTAGCCTCGCTGCATGCAGTTAGCCTAGCCTTGGAGCTAAACCAGGGGTTCTTGCATCATGTCTCTCTCTCTTCAATGCGTCTCCAACTCCCGCTACTCGACCTTTCAATCACCTGAAAATCCTCTGCGCTGTAGCAGGAGGTTGCGAGCAAATAAACTTCCCGTTTTGCAGAGGAGTTACTGCGCATGTACAACTTTTAACGAAAGTCAATGGGCAATGATTTTTGCGCCCTAGGGCGAAAATACATCACCAATTTTAGATACGAAGAATGGAATGATGCTTTACTAGTCACTAAACATTAAATATGTATTTTGCACATCTAAAAATTACATTAATAAGATATTAACATATTTCAAAATATTTTAAATTCAAAATTAAATTATAAAAAATATATATATATTTTATGTCATAATCAGGGTCATTGGGTGGGAGGGCTGGCGCCCTCTATTGGCCAACCACCACTGGTGGGTATCTAAAAAAAATTATGTTAAGAAAATATGTTTCAAAATAAAAGAAAAGTAGGACT